ATCAGTTTTAGCATTTCATTCTTGCACTTTACACATGAAATTTCATATATGCCAACCAAGCTGTATTTGATTTCCAAATGAGAATGTTTGAATCAGTGGGGAATATCTTAGGCCCAAAATATAACAATCACAATGGGAACTTTACAAAAAATTGTCAACTTCATGAAACTCGCGACTATTAATCCCAGGAAAATGAGCATATGATGTTTAAGAAAATCAATGCAACACTCATTTTAGTATTTGCCAAAGAATGTTAATGTAAATAAGCCAACCATAAGTAGCTTAATTCCCTTACATTCTATTCTTGACTACTTAATTATTAATTAAAAACGTCAGTTGTTTTTGTTATGGTTTCTCAATGGCTGCCTTGGTCGAGCAAGTATTCAAAACACCTTTCTCATAATATCTACTAGTATTTCATCTCTATTGAGTTATCCAGTTCGTATTGTTAATGCATGCTAACATTCCTAGTTTACTGTAAATAGATCTATCCAAATGGATTCAGTGCTCTCGTTTTGTTATTTGTATCCCTAATTGATGGGAAGATAGGATGGCATCTTGCCTTTTGTTATCCACGCTAAAACACATCATCGCCTCTCGGTGTTTCGAATTGGCAGGAACCAAGTAGACTACGCGCAAATCAACCGGAGGTAAAGCCCCGCGAAAGCATCTGGCCAACAAGGCTGAGCAGAAGAGCACCCTAGCAACCGGTGGCGCAAAGACACAAATCCGGGACTGTTGCTCTTCCAGAAATTCATCGCTAACAGAAGAGTACTGAGATTTTGATTGGTAAGTTTCCTTCCCAATGTTTGGTTTGAGTAATAAACTCAGACTTCAATACTGACCATCGATTTCACTGACTGACCTATCGTAATAATCATTGTTTTTGTTTTCCTGTGCTATCTGCTTCCGCTTTATTTCCCATAGTTGTATATCTGTATAATCAATTCGTTATGGAGCAGGAAATTACCCTAAGTACATTGTTCATAAATCAACAGGATATCCACTTTAAAAAGAATAGAAAGTTCGCGGCTGACGCCTTTCATTGCTGTAATACGTGAGAAAAATGTACTGCCTAAACAATTTTCAAAGTAGAACACTTCAAACAATCTAATATCCCATATGTCCTCTACATTTAATATCAATATCTGTATCAAACTGATCATGCCAGTTGACTGGCATAAATTCTGTAATTGTCGTTTTCAGAATATATTATTATTATTATTATTATTATTATTATTATTATTATTATTATTATTATTATTAGTTTTGATGACAATTACAACTTTTGCTTGTGTTCCAGAATTAATCAGCAAATATAAGCACGTAGGGGTAAAAAGTGAGTCAATTTAGGTTTTTCGAAGTTCGTTTCCGATAAGAACTAGAACCAGGTAGAGAACTGTTTCAAATCAGGTATCAATCGGTTGTTGTTTGTTAAAGTTCGGGATGCTTTGGCAGCAAGCACTCATCATCCCATTATGAGATTGAACTCAGGACCTTTAGATATCACAACGAACACAACACTAAATCACTGTGCTGAAATTTAACAATCCCTCTTGCAGTCACTTTACAATATAGTGAAGTAGTTATTAAAGGGATTTTAACTGAGTACGGAATGAGTCCTTTAAGGTAAAGATTAAAGGCTGGTGACTAACTAATAGTCATAAAACAGAAATAGAAACCAAGCGAGAATAAGTGCCATTTACTATTCACAGTGAATTTGTAGGGTTGCGCAATAATCTGAAACTGAAACCAACAACAAATCAGAGGTAAGAGGAAAATCGAACCCAAGCTAAAATGGACCAAGCATAAGATGTGTAGTAACACAGAATATGTGATTAAAAAAACCACATAACTAAGCACAGACAGCCGAATGTTGTGATTGGAGAAGCCTAACATCCCGCCTGACCATCCCACCAATAAGCTCACAGTATATAATTGACCTCAGGGCTAGGCTTGCTTTGACTTTTTTGTGATTGGACATAACAAAATGCATGCGCCCAATCTCATTGTGTCTTTTTAGAAAAATGGAATAATCAATATAAACCCTGCGTAGGCACAGCCTTAAGATTTGTAGAGTGTATCGATCAAATATATTTCTATCCCTGGCATAAACGATAATTAGTTTGTGCTTGGTTCTACTTTAGAAACAGCTGGCTGCTTCGCATTGCAAAGTTGATTATTGATTAGTGGATATTGCTCTTTTTTATTCTCACCCCCTAAACATCGTCAAGATTTGAACGGTTCCAATTGAATATCCAGTAAGTTGTCTTTCATAATATAAAACATCATTATATATTAAACATGTTTTATTCGACGAATATGATTCCATTTATTCTTCAATGTCTGTTGAACTCACTATGTTATTTTTAATCATAGTGTCACTAGTAATCAGTAATAACGGATTACATATAACTTGTACTGTTTAGCAAGAAACAATTACTAACCAGTTAAATATCGTATATGTTCGACGTTATCCTTTTGTTATATCCGAATGATTCATAGTTTCGCGATACAAACTGTAAAATTAAGGGACAACATAAGCTCGAGGTGGTGAACTGCTTTCAATTTTAATTTCTTCATGAATATCTGTCCTTCATCATGTCAATCAACGGAACTCATCAGGAATTATAAAATGTCATTCTTTCAAAGTGGTACCTTATTATTAGAACAACCCATGAGCGAACGATTTTGTTTTCAGTCAAATCGTCATCAGGCTTGACTCCAATATACATGAGTATTTATCTATTTCATTGTGGTAATTGGTTCATAAATTACCTTGATTAGTTTGGTGTTTTCACATATCCATATAGATATTCATGTTTATTGTAGTAAGGCCTGGTGACTATCAAGTTGGAAATATTGTTCACTTATATATGTTCTAAATTTCACAATGGGAATCCTTAACATCTTATGTCGTGAATACAAACACTGTTAACATTAATGGTTATTGAGTTTATGAGGGTAGTTCTTACAGTGGTATTTCTATATACCAAACCTCTGTTACTAGACGACACCTAGACTTCCCCTGAAAGATGATATTTTCGACTAGTCTTAGTTTTCTTATCTATGCAGGCAGTTGTAATAAAGTCTTAAGACGGGTTTATTATTTGATATTGAGTTTTCTGCATGTATCGAGATATTATTTCAGTCACACTACGTTCCAACAATGGGACGGAATCCTATATTGTATGATGGAAAGACATTTCCTTCGTTTTCTCCTATTCACTCTCACTTCAGAAATGTCTTTGTATCGAAAATAGGTTATGCTGTCGTACGTGAATTCGGTTTTGAAATATAACGGGTGAACAACCTAAACTTAGTCTTAATACATTAATTGTTCACTCTGGAGGTATAGATAACTTATATCAACTACCTTAGCAGTACGTTAATATGTTTATATCAATCCAACTTCCCTAACCCTCATTAAAAACAAGGGATCAGTGAAAGGAATACTTGAAGTAATCTCTCTGGGCTCATTGTTTTATTTATTCTGATTGATCTTGCTTAGGAGGTTACTAACTCACAATACTCAAATACATAGTGGTTGAATGCAATTTTTCGCACTATACTTTTCAATAAAAAGAACATTAACTTCTGAGGTATGTAATCAGTATTGAGTACCTAACAATTTGTCTTGAGTCATGACATAATGATTAAAATGTAATGTGTTCATGTGGCGTGTTTCGAGAATCAATGAACTTGACCATTTTACTTTCAATAAAGGTTGTGCTACTATATAGTATGTATTTCTAGTTACTCATAACAAAATTCAGATTTTGAGTTCTATAGTTATTTCATCACTTAATCCAAGAACCCAATGAAATATTGCCTATTCGAATGGTTCCTAGAATTCAAGATGAATAACGGTCGATTTAAACTACTCAACAATATTTTGATAAACGTGATCATTCACAAATTTGTTCCATATTAGTTGCTGTGTCGCAATTACTCAAGGTAAAAAAGTAAATCTCCAGACCCATTTGCGAATGGATCATTCCTGTAAGTGTATTATGAGATGAGAGCAGGAATGCTGTGGATATTTTGCTGAAAATAAGCAAACTCGTGATTTAAAATATCGACCCCATACATTACTGCTAGTTTTTTTTGCCTTATTTGTAATTTTCTAAGAGTTTTGACCAAGAAGTGATTTCAGTTTGCAGATATCGACCAAGGTCCAGTCCTTAGTGTCAAAAGCGTGGAAACAAATCTTTACGAATAACAACCTCATATCTGTTAGAAAAGTTGGTGGCTATCTAGAATCATTAGCTTACCGAGAAATGTGATGGCATTGAATATGAAAGTGTGCTGTGTTCGAGTCCCAGTCCAAACATCAACATTGGGATAGTGGTACATCCGGTTGATGGGCCCCACAATGAGTGAAGTGCGCGTCCAGGAATTTACTCAGACAAAATCCATACATATAGTAAAAACATAACTATGAGCGATTGTGGGCCACCACCAGAGCGTACATATGTCAATACAGTTTGATCAAGATTCAGTCTCGAAAATTAGCCACGGGAAAACGCAAAACTCTAAAAATAATACATTTGAGCACCCAAATATTTTACGCTGTTTTGTTTTAAAAAAATTCGATGGAAAAAGTTGTGAAGGCAAACACTTTTATTCATCATCAGTTCTTTCATGTAACCAAGCAATCCTAGCTAATCTCCGATTTTTGTATTTAGAAAACTTTCATAAACACATACAATCTGGATTTGAAGAATCTCTTAACTGAAGCGAGTGAGGACGACTTCATTACGTCTTCAGTGAAAACGACTGAGTGGAAATTTAAGAGAGCTCGTGAACTAGAGTAGTATTTATTTTCCATAGTTAAAGGTATTATACTTAACTTCTATGTTTATTAATTTCCTCCTACTGAGATTTATGGGTACTAAAAAGTACACATACACATTTCATAACGTCCACTCAAACTTCTATTTCTACATGAATAATATCTTCACTAATTATTTGCAAAACATCTAATTTATCACTTATAGATGGAAACTCCAGTCAGTTATAAAATGGATTCGTCAGATGAAGGTTCGTCTCTTTCAGTAAACCAAACAGACACACCAACTTGTGTTCATAAACACGAACCTACTGCTGAAGAAAAAAAGCTTACGAGACTTCTAATTGAACGTGTTCTCCCTCCATTTTCAAAATCACTAAAACTACAAGCTCTTGTGGTTTATCAAGCTGACCAAGAAAAGATGAAATGTTTACTTGTTAACCAAACTTATGAGAAAACAAATGATCATTCTTTCGAAAACGACAGTCCTAATCAAGATTTATCAGATTCAGGAATAATGGATACATCTACAGAGTCGATTTCACCGATTAAAACACAAGCTGATGACGTTATAAAGAAGTACGGCTTTTCGATCTCACGACGTAAACGGAAGCTAAGTCGACCATGTAAAATACCTCAAAGTTCTGTTGTTTCTGATCCTACTGAACCTTTACCTGCTACAACTGCTTCATCAACAACTTCCGTTCCAGCTCAACCAATCTCAAAAGCAGTCACTGAAATTGTAACGCCGATGAAAAGTGGGCCAACAAATGGTTTATTTTTACCTGTCTCAGCAGTTACACTTCTTCCTCACGTGAGTGTTTTCTCCCTACCTGTAACAGTACTATCAACTGTCCATCGTCCTATTTTACCTCGAATTTGCACTGATAAACAGCCTATTCCCCGTCCTGTTAATAGTTGTAATTTACAGACAGTTATTTCTCCTCAATCAAAACATACAACGTCATCTAATTCACTTTCTAAGAATTCCACCAGAGAATCCGTAAACTCAACAGACGATTCAAGTATCCATAATCGTCGATATGCTAAGTCATTTATATGTAATCAATGTCGAAAACCATTTACATCATTGACTTTACTATGTGAACATACCTTCGCAGTGCATAAAGCATTTAAGTGTACTATATGCGGTGCACAATTTACTCAACGATCCAATCTTCAACGTCATTCTCTTCGTCATGTTGGTTTCAAACCTTTTGTATGTAAAATATGCGATAAATCTTATTATCGTAAAGATCATCTTGTTCGACATATTGAACTAACACATCCTGGTTGTGATCCACGTACAAATCTTACTGTGAAACTAAGTTCAGCTGAATGTTTAGATTATTTAGATCAAATCAATAAACACGACAATACAAATGGTGAGCAGATACAAATATCATGTCAAAACACCACTAATAATAATAATAATACTCCTGAAATTGCTATCAAACAAGATGAAAGTGATTCTCAAGAGAAATTATGCATTCTGGTTTCTCAACAACAAGAACAATCTAGCATTTGCTCACAATCACATCAAATATGCACTAGTATAAATTCCTAAAAAGCCAGTTGTTATTACTATTATTGTTTTCCTAAAAAAGTCTTGTCATATCACTGTTTTCTTTTCTACCAATATTAGACAGCTATTGTTTGGTTGTTTTTTTTTCATACTTTTCTATCCTTCATTGTTTTGTTTGTTTGGTTTATTTTTCTTTTCTAGAAATTTTGTTTTTTTTAAAAAAATAAGAATTTAGTCATTTTCTACTTTCATATTTTGTATAAATTATTATCATTATCAGTTTAAGAAAATCATTATCATCTTTATAATGGCTTATTATGCATCATTGGTTGGTTTATAATTAATTATAATTTATTAACATGCTTGTTTGTGATAACGAATGATAAACGAAATCTATAGTTGTATAAACAACTCATTATGATAGTTGGTTTTATATTACCGTATATACTTGGAGACAATTTGTATGTTTTGAATGTAACTTATTGGGTTTTGAAACTCAATAGTTTTTTTGTTTTTTTATTACAAAATTTGATTGAGATAAGTTTCACTTGTGATTTGAGTTTTTGTTGTTGTTCATCTCAAGAAAATCTTATTGTATTCATAAACAAAGTTTACTTTAAGTTAGTATATTGGTTAAGCTTGAAGTTCATGGGATAAATTATCATTGTATCTAACTGGTTTGTTCATATGGGGATAAGTCTGAGTGACTTATCAACTAGATTATTGTAAGACGGTTTATGAGTTATATTAGATAACGTTTGTTATCATTTAAGTTATGACTCGACTTGGATGTTCTCTTATGTCTATGCAATACTTTTAATGGGTTTACTGTTTGAGTTAACAGTTTTAATTCCCCATTATAATGATAATATCATTTATTTTCTTCAGGATGATAATTCCAGTTGTTATAAACATTTGTTCGGGTTGCTGACTAGTCGTATTAACTAGCAGACGGTAGTTAATGATCAGCCGAAACCAGTGTACCTTTCCATGTCCTCTTAGCTCAATGCGTCTATTTGCCAGTTTGGCTTGAGCTTTTACATCTTTAACTTACTAATACTAAAGTTAATGGAGAAAATGCCCGATAAATATGCTGTAACAGTTCAAGTGAAGCTGTATCTCATTGATTAGTTGCTTAATTTACAATTATTGGTTCACTATTAGTTAGATTCATCCTGGTCATTGACCTTTGTTCTACGAAGGGTAATAGACGTAATTAATTAATTAAATTTGGCCTCATATTGTACTGCTAGAGTGGCAAGAAATATAAATCTATTCTTCATGTAACTGGTTTAACTTACGATTTAACGACCGAATGTCTACGAGGTTACCGACTTTTTCGAAATTTCTAGGCAATTGAGTAATATTCCTTTCACCATAGTAGGTTGTGATCGGTGGGATGTAAATGAGGGACATCGTTTATGAAATATGAACAGCTATAATTCCAAGCCGTAATACTAAGCTAAGAAGCAAAGGATTGCTATAAATACCTAGTGTTTACACAAACGCCTTTATTGATTTTGATAAAACATCAGGAAAAAGGAGTCATGCGAATCGATATACCCTATCATCGTTTGGTGTTTCTCACAATTTATTATTTCTAACCAAGTTGACACTGATCATCTAGTTTATGCTGACGGTATTCCCAGAAGTTATGCTTCCTTATTCATAAAATACTTTCTGGAAAAAAACATTACCTACTACTGGTGCAACAGTTTCACTATTTTCCATTTTATTCTTTTAAGAAATATTTTCCAGTTCGCTAATTCGACTGGTCGCCGCCCACGCTACTACTACTACTACTAATAGCTATGTAGTTATAAAGCAATAGATCGAGTAAATAAAGTACTTAATGTGTTGTACTACTGATGTATTCAAAATCAATATAAATTTAAAATATTTCACACTGTTATGTTATTGGTTAATTGTTACGCCTAAAAATCGATACTACAATAACTCTGAGGGCTAGCAAGAATTTTCTAATACAAACACCAAACTCATACTCTTGTTATTTCTCACTAACTATCGTTTGGTAACCCGTAAGAAAGACTGTTGTCTTATAGAATTAACATTGTAAGAACTTTTCTCAATAAAGTTTATTTGGTAGCTGTTATATATAAAGAATTCATCGTCTGTGTTACCCTCGCTCCTGCCCCTCCCTTCACAAATGCCATGTATGTCTGTGAATGTTGTATTTATTTATGTGTGTCTTGTTTTTATCATACCAGTTTTAGATACCTGGCTGGTAAAAATTGAATTGGAATATCGATCAGTCACATAATATCACAGTTCATCTGTTCACGCACTCATTTTGGCTGTGATTAAAAGTGTCATGCTTTAATTAATCATCAAGTATTAACTCTGTTACTGAAGTTGGGAGGTGAATTCTACTAGTTTGGATACACTCTAGAAATACTTGGTTAACAATGGACTTCAATATTTATTAAAACAAACTATATTGTCTTTCTTCATAAATTCCGACTTGTTGAAGAATTAAAAATAATCTACCGTCCAAATAAATTGTTAAAAAAGGGGAATCAGTAGATATAAGTTCAATGGACGTCTTGTTTCGACAGTTTTATATGTTTGCTATCTTTGGGAATAACAACAATCATTCTCTGTAATTTCACTCAAACTTAATAGACCTAGTTCTAACGAGGATGGAGATACTGTGTAGCGATTGTCTAGAGATTTATAAAAATATTTCTTCCTGCTTATGGAAAGATACACATATTTTGAGTGGTTCACATCTAATTGTTACAAAGATTAATGAAATTTTCATAAATTTCCCGTTTATAATGCACGGTTTATATATCTCTTACTATAATAGCAAACAATCCCACGCTTAACACCTTGTTGATAATAATAAGTTCTTAATTAGGGCATGGGATACAATTTATATCAGCTAGTTCTTGTTTCTAATGTATTTCATTCAAATACACGCAAAACATCAGATCCCAAAAGACAATTTATTTCGTACATCTTACATTAGACAGCACACACTGACTGGCATCACAGATAAAAACATTTTATCATCAAATAACTTAACTGAAAAGTTCATACCAAGAGTTCGTTGACTATTAAAATACTCAATACATATAATATCCAAAATGACAGTAACCAATCTACGGATTGACCGCTGGTATAACGAATTATCTGAACTTAAAATATCTTTCACTGGGAAGACATAAATACTGGGTTAAAACACGGTATTGTTCAACAACTGGATTAACTCAATATATAGGATGCAATACAGTGCCTTGAGTTAATTGACTACTTCAAGTCAAAGATAGAATGACATGAAAAGAAACAATTGTTGGATTCATCTGAAACAACTAGAGAGAGATATCTCAAATAGATTTCATCTTTGGTGACAAACTTCACCGAAATATACCCATAGTTACTTTGAACCCCGACGGGTGTTGTTCAGCGCCGCACTCACAAATACTTATGTCAAAAACATTTTTAAGGTCAATTTGTGTATATGATAGATCACCAATCAACATCCATGATAGGCAAGTTAAACTCGATGAAATCCTCTTGATCACAATAAAAAAGTCCAACTATCTTCTTACGTAATCTACCTCTGTGAAACTTAACTGAAGTGCATGATTTTCGAAATTCACATGCCTACAAAAGGTATAGTGACTAGTTTTTGTAGGAAATTTTTAGTTACTATCGATTGATTGTTGAGTCAAATAATTGAACTCACGTAAGTAAAAAAAGAATGAAATATTGGACGATTACCAAACTGACGTTCATTAACTCTAAGCAAGATTCAGACGATAATCCAAATGAGAATTTTCCTTGGTTCACGTTTACTACTGAATAAATAGTCAAGTGATTAATAACTAAAGGACTTACATTTCAGAAATATTAATGTTTTCGTCCAAAAGGTTACTTGCTTAATATAACATATAACATTGTTACTTAATGTTTGTGGGATACAGTGCAGTACAGAAAAAAGAAATGTATCCACATTTTCTTGATCTAATAACTACATTTTTCTAATATCTACTTCTCGAGTCAAACTGATAAATATCATAAACTTATAACGCAACAAATATTTGTTGGAACCATTTCAACAATATATAAGTACTGGTAAGTGAAATCTAGAACTAGAAACTGCAATCTCATCACGAATTATAAGTTGACACTCAAAAACTAAACAGCAATGAAGAGTGAAATAACTTGCTGTTACAAATAAATAACTGCACACTTTGCCCTAGTGTCTAGTAGATGCTTATTTTGTTATTTAAAGGTAATTTTCACTAGAAATTTATAAGGTGTAGAATCACTAAAAGCACGACAACCCTGAAGAAGAAGCTGTTTTGTTCAATACTGAAACTTTTCTACGTTGTACAATTCCGACCCTCTCAGATGATTGAACACAAATCAATTCCCGTTATTTCTAGAGAAACAATACCCATAGAATATTAAGTTAATAGTTTAGAGTAGTCCATATTTGCAGTTTCAACTAATGTATGAACAAGATGATAAATAGACATTAACGCAGGTGACCGATTACCCCACCATCTACTTGATTCAGTTCACAGGTCAAGAACATATAGAAACCTACCTCAGTGAAAAATGGAAATCACAAACGAGAACAAAATAACTATCCAACACCTGCTTTTTTAAGCCATTTTCCGGCTGATATCAATATAGGGTGGAATCCACCTTCAAATTGTATGAAATATCCTTGAAACCGCTTAACTTTTTCCCAATAACCTGTGTTTCTTTTTTTAAGTTAATTCCAAACCACAAAGCAAGAAAAACTAGTTCAGTGGAGAGTTCGCTTTTCGGCGAAATCACTTTCAAGGTTATATAGTCGTAAATAAATACTAATTTTACATGATATTAATTACAATAATAATGATAATAAAATTCTATTAAGCATGGTAACAGTTAGGTAGAATAAACTTTATTTTTATCAGGGAAAACAATAATTTTATTGTTATGGCCTTAAATATTCACCATGAAGATAGATAGGGAAATTATAATTGGGAAAGGGTGGCTCAGCATGAGACTGAGATGGAATG